AATGATTACAATCCAATTCCCGGCAATAGTGAGTCGCTATGGAAGTTCTCTAGCCAGCCCACCCACATAAAGCCATAGCCGTGCCTCATTGATGGCCAATTTCTGAGTTTCCTCATCGCCGATCGTTCTGGGCCGGAGCTCGGGTCGGTTGGGGCCAGTCCCACTCGGTAGGTAATAAGTCAAATTGATGTTGTGTCGGTGCTCGGTTTGACCCCCTGAAGCCGGTGCTCACGCTGGTTTGTCTAGGGCGCTCGTCGACAGCGTGGTGACGCGCCGTGTCTGCCTCGGGGCACCACCGCTGGGCTCAAGCACATGTGGTCAGGCCCTCTCGATCACCCCCTGCGTCAACCCTTCCCATAGCGTGCACCAAGGTGAGCCTCTGGTCCTTCTCCATCATCGCTTCCTGATCGTTAGGGCGTAGCCTCGCCGGAGCGCTCAAGCCGACGCGCGGATCCTCCGTCGACGTGGATAGGTGGAACTAAAGCATCGCTGCATGTGCCGCCGCCATCTGTGGGTGCGCGTAGGGCCCCAGGTCCCGGTCGGTCTTTCTTAGGTGGCATTGTGGGCCGCTGCTGGTCGGCGTGACCGGGTGTTGCCATCCTGAACCACGCCATCATGCACGGCACGGCGGGGGGAGGGTGTTGTGAAGGTAGTAGGATGCAGGCGTCCCCGTGCAAAGCTTAGGTCTATAGAAATAGTGCTTCGCTGTGCTGCGGGATTTCTTGAGAACGCGGGGACTCTTTTCCATAAATGTAGGCGCACGTGTGGGCTCTAGCTATGGGCCGATGCTGGGCCAGCCACTGCGCGCGTAGCTGCTTCCGCGTGGGCCGTGCGGCTACTAGGCTAGTTTAGTTGCCGCCGGCCCTTTTTCATTTTTGAGGTATTTTCTAATTTAGTGCTGAAGCAAACTTGTAAAATCAATATAAAATTATGTAGGTGTCCAAAAATGGTGAAACCAATTTTGTTAGGCTCCTGAAATCATGATCCATCTATTAGCGTAATTGGTTCATTTAGTTTGAAAATGTTTCCAGGGTTGCTCTAATTATTTTAGAATGTTTAAAATTGTTAAAATGCGAACTTGTGGGAATTTTTGTGAGAAATCGGTGATAGTATTAACTCTAAAAATTTTACAGTAAATTACTAATATTATTAGCTGCTCACTGTAATTTTTGTAGCTCTGGAATAATTAGTTTGCTAGATAGAGAATGATGCCCTATTTCGAATAAAGATTAAATCGATAGAACGGAGTAAAGAAACAACTTGAGTTTGTATAACTAAAACATTGGTTGGGAAGTAACGCCTTATTCTACAACATGGATATGTAGACTAGCGCGTTAGAACTATCTCGTTAGCTTGTGAGGCGTGCTCGGGTTTCTAAGCATTTCGGCAGTCGTCGATTATTTACAGTTGTGCTTTTGCATCAATACTTATCATAATAGGAATGACGGTGGATCAATGGTATCAACTGGAGCAGCTGAAAAGATGGTGCCAGGTATCATGACATGAAGATGGAATGCTAAATTTTAGTTATATTTTACCTAGGCAAGCCCCGGTGTATAACCCCCATTTTTCTGCACTTTAAATTATATTTGTGCATTAAGTTTCAAGGAGTTGAATGCAAACCACTTGCATATATATATATATATATATATATATATATATATATATATATTTATCCTATGAGTCTTACTAGTATGACAGGATCATGTAGATTGCTATGCTACAAGACTCCAGTAGAAGTCGAGTGATTGCCTGTCACTCGCGAGAGATAGAAAATATATTATTGTACTATTATTACTTGGAATATATAAATGGTGAAAGGAAAAATGGAGACCAGGCAGGGATATGGTTTGGGTATTGGTGGGTGTAAGAGGTTGTGTCTTGCGGCCAACGGGGCATAGCTTGGTTACACTGTTTTCCCTATCTGTGTCGGTTAAGGAACGGCCGTTGCATTGGGTTCTAGGCAGGTCACAGACCTATTATCCCGAGCACATACTTGGGTATGGGCGCAGGGAAGACTTATTACTCTCTTGTCATGGGTTCCAGCTCTTTTCGGACCGACTGTCAGGGTGGTTTTTGGGTATTGGAGGTCCTTGCACCGCACTGAGTTTGGGACTCAAGGGCAGGGACTTGGAGTCCCAGTTTGGACGGGACCTGGACCCCGTGATAGGAGGGTAGTGGGTTGGTCCTGCCTATGCCTGGGGTACAAGCAGGGCATGTGTTTTCAGGGTACCCAGCTAGGGGCATTGATTCGCGAATCACCGGCGTTCCAGTACGACTTGTCTACAGTCTAGCAATGTAGTAAGAACTGGAAGATGAAAGATGGTAAAATGATTCTGATTGCCTACCACCTGCTTGAAAGTAGCACAGGTGCTTACATAGAATGGTTAGTTAATGAACTAATACACTGCTAATAAAAATTGAATATAAAGACGCACTTTTAGTAATGCTACTGCAGATGCAATAAACCCACCAGCCAGATAGCCTTGCATATTCTTGCAGACTTTTATTTCCTCCTGTCGGGTAAGTCTTGCTGAGTACAATTGAGTACTCAGGATTTTATTTCCCCCTGTTGCAAGTGACAGGTGGATGCTAGAGCTGACTCTTGTGTGTGGATTCCTCCTGGTGGGCTCAGAGAGGATTTCTTTACGCTACGATCATAGTCTTTATTGATAACTCTTACTAAATGTTTTTATAAATGAAAGTTTTATAATCTGTTGTAATAGTTTATATATCAATGCTTCATCATGTCATGAATAGATAGTTATTTCCGCCGTAATTCTGATCACATGTTTATATTCCGATGTTAATTTAAATTGTTTATAACTCTGATAACATGTTCATATTCCGCTATTATAAATAATAAATATTATACTCTAATGTTACATGGAAAGTGATGTAAGAAATGGCTAAAATGTTGTAAGCTTTATTCTCTCATTTGTGATCCTGATGGAAAATTATGGATTTTCGGGTTCTCCCCTGGGGTGTGCCCGACGAGACCGCGTAATTTGGTGTCCTCCCTTGAGTACTTAGTGTTTAGTGGAAGACAAGTACTCCTGCGAGGCATTAGATTAGGCAATTCTACCACACACGGTCACGAGCGGCCTTGGAACCCTTATGGAATAGATGATCACTAATATTTATTCGTTTATGCTATTCATTATTCATGTTTACATTGATCATGTGTTTTACTTTGGGATGGAAACCAATTTGTTGCTACTCTTATGCTAAAATCGTGACAACTAAAAGCTGAATGATGTTAAACCTGTGTAAATCCTTTTGAGCATCATGAACCCCATGTTACACTTGTTAAGTACGACATGTACTTACGCTTGTTTATTTTTATTATTTAGATAAAAATCCCGGATGGATAACAGATGGCTATGGTAATGAGGATTTTCCTGAGAAATACTAGACTTGTGGTCAACTAGTAGACGTCCCTGTGATATGGAGCTTCCACGAGAGATCTTTTCTTTATACTTCCGCTATATTTATGTGAAGACTATGTCTATTAGTCGTGGTGTAATAAACACTTGTGATGATACTATTCATAATTTATCGGCTTATGTGTGTGACTGGTCTCTGGGCGCACATCAGATTTTGCATCCCATTTTATCCTTAAAATTGGGTGTGACAATTTGTGGATGAGTTGATTTGTCATCTGTTGAATCCCCCACCTTTGTCTGAGATGTATGAGTTGGTTTTTTTTGGATGAATTGCTTGATGGATCGGCAGCAGCAGCTAGCGAGCATGGCGGTGACAGTGGCGGCAGCGGTAACGAGCATGCTCCAGCAAGTACGCTTGTTGCTTGCTGTATTCCTTTTTTTTAGAGCCTATCACTGCCAGGTGAGGTACCGTTTCCCTTTTGTGGAGTAGTGAGGATTGCGTGGGGTGGGGTGGGGTGGGGGTGGGGGAGGGCTCGCAGAAGCACCAGAGGAAGAGGGTGCGAGACAGTACGGACGAAGGCCTCTATGCCGCCCTGCTCTTCCTGGTCACGCGTTCCTTCTTGGGTGGCTGATGAAGCAGCCTGCTGGCCGTGCGCCTAGGCTGGCCCAGCCGACGTTGCAGCCGTTGTCGCGGAGGGGAGTACCCGACCGCAGCGGGCCACGGATGTGTAGTGGACGGCACAGGGGCGGACGAAGGCGCGACACGTAGTGGGGCTTCGTCGGGCGTCTCTGCTCGGCCATCTTCTGTGATGGGAAGTAAGGAGTCCCTGACTCCCTACACATCAGCAAACAGTCAGGGGAAGGATGAACCTTGCGTGGTGGTGAACGTGTCATCGCAGGCGGAGTCAGCAAGCCGTCGTCGTGCCTATCTGTGCTATCAAACGTGTCATCGCTGGCGGAGTCGGTGAGCCATCGTAGTGCCTATCTGTGCTATCAATAGCGCACCATGGGTTGCAGCGCTGGCGGGAGGACTCCGGTGATGGCTCTCTAGGCTCCGGACGTGTTGGGGAGCGGCGTTCTCCTTCCTTGCACCGACAGCTGCTGCGTTCACGGCTATGGCCACGCGTCTTTTTGTGCCAGCGTGGATCGTGGCGCGGCCGGCGGTGCTATTGTAGAGCCGTGCGCGTCCTGAGGCAGTTGCAGTTGCTCAGTACCTTCCGATGCTTCTTGGGGCGGTACCAGACGTTGTACGCGCCCAACGCGTTCACTCTGGCCGGCAGTATCTGGCTAGGGGCTTGGAGGACGAGCGGATCGGGCGTGCCCGCGCCCGCTGCGTGGGCCGGAGGTAGCCCCATCTGTGGCATCCTGAAGTTCACGTTGCCGGTGGCCACCATGAGCTGATCGGTCATCGCGATGCCGTCCATGTCTTGATTCAGTGTGCTCCCGTTCCTGCTCTCTTGCATGGGCTCGGGAGAGGATGCGGAAGAGCGAGAGCCAGGACCCTAGTTGCGACTCTTGTCACTACGCTGCCCATGGGTGGTCATCGTCGTTGTCCTCCCTATGGCGTCTGGAGCTAGCCTCAGGCGGTGGCGAGGCGTGCCACTCCCGAGGACCCTATTCGTCGTCAACGATGCCATAGTGCCACTTGAGCTCAGGAGTTGAGGTTCTACCGTAGTCATCCACTGGGGACTCAATGAGGTCGAGGTGGACCAGGACCTTGATGGTGAGTCCTCGGCTCCCCCTCGGAGGAGTAGGACCATCATGTGCTATCATTGCATCCCCGGTTAGTGTAAGCCACATTTCCTTTGGTATGTCGGATGGGTTGTACGTCTGTGCGCACAGGCACAACACTCTAGTGTTGTCTGGGCACAAAGCTCTGTTGTTGTCACGGCATAGAGAGAGCGAGGGTCGATGTAGTCGAGGTCACAGGATCTTGCCACCATGCGCTTGGCAATGTTTTCGTTCCAGTCATGGAGGGGAATGCCCTCAAGGCAATTGCAGACGTGGTGCCGAAGGTCATAGTGGTCGCCGTAGGGGAGGACGCGCCAAGGCATGATCCTGATGTCGATGTTGCCTACAGGGAGGCGACGCAGATCCAGCGCCGTGTCACGATGGTGTGGGCACTCGAACTCAATGAGGAAGTCCTCCGTTTTGTGGCGAACCACCTTGATGTCGACCTCCCAAACGCCCAGCCATGAATAGACAGCCCTCTTGACTTGCTCCGGGTCAGTGTCGTCTTTGTCCCGGCACAAGCACGCTACCACGGTGTGTGCCAAGAGGCGTGCCTCATCCATGGTGCTATTCGCAGCCCCAACCGCCGAGGTCTCCTGGGGATGAAGCTCTAGGTCGCCCACCAGTGCCATGGTTGAGCGGGGGAGGATGGGGAAGTTGGAAGAGTCGAGCTTTGGTGGCCGGGATGGCAGGGCTGGAGTTTCGAGACTCTGGTGGCGCTGCAAAGCCGGGGCCTTGCACTCATGCGACTTATGGCCGATTCACCCACAGCGGAGGCATCTTACCGGGTCTTGGTAGGCTGCTGCGGAGTGCCCTCCAGCCAGGCAGCGCATGCATTTATCATGAAGGCGCTCTGCAACTGCTGGTTTAGGCAGAGGCACGCGGGGCGCTGATCGGCGTGACTCTCTGTGAGCAGTAAATTCCGCGCGACGCCACAAGTGCTTGGGGCAAACGTGAGACCAGCCATCTGTTAGTTTTTGTGGATCGACTAGGGTAGATCTAGGTGGATGTGCTGTTGAACATGATGAACTAGAACAAGTAGAGAGTGGGAGGAAGGAGAGGGGTGCTGGTGTTGAACCTGAGACCTCGGGGTGGGGTCGCGGTTGAGCTGGCCATCTCAGCTTCGGTGATGGAGGCAGCACACGGGCAACGACGGGTGGAGTAGAGGTTGCACGGACGTCAATGCAGTGCAGACGGAAGGCGTAGCAGTGATGACGGCGAAGTCAGTGGAGCTTCCCGTCGTTGGTTGCGTGCCCTCTTAGATCGGTCTAGGGTTTGTCGGTGGGGCTTGCGGCTCACGGCGAACCTCGTACCTCGAGTCGCCGGCCCCCCACCTCTTTATATAGCGCAGTGCGACGGGGGCCCACCAACCATGTAGGGTTGGGCGCCCCAGATCAGGGCGCATGACCAAGGCCCAATAGGCCGTTGGGCTTATTGGTTGAGAGATCACTCTAACATTCTCTCCCTTGATCTCACTATTACTTTTATCTTTAAACTTTAAACTTCAATCCTTTTATCCTTACTCATTTCTTCACAGATGATGCATAGAGCATGTCTCATCGTCACGGTCAATCGCCGATAGATTTAACAGCTACAATGCACGTCTCTGATCTGAAATAGTTACTTTAACTTTTGGGCCCTTTATAGTCCAGGAATCATAGGCTTTCCCTTAAACCCATGCCGGCTACATGTTCTCTGAACACATTGGGTGGTAAGCCTTTTGTAAGCGGATCCGCGAGCATCTTTTTGGTACTTATATGCTCAAGACTTATCATTTGATCACGGACTTTATCCTTTACAACATAATACTTTATGTCAATGTGTTTGGCAGCACCACTTGACCTATTGTTGTGAGCATACTGTACTGCTGGATTATTATCGCAGTATAACTTCAGTGGTCTATTGATGTCGTCAACCACCTTCAAACCGGGTATGAACTTATTTAGCCAGTTCACCTGCCCCGTTGCCTCATAACACGCTACAAACTCGGCATACATTGTGGACGATGTAGTGACGGTTTGCTTTGAGCTTTTCCATGAAATAGCTCCCCTTGCGAGAGTGAACACATATCCAGACGTGGATTTTCTATTATCTCCCGCATAATAAGAATCTGAATATCCCACTATATGGAGTGAATCAGATCTTCTATATGTCATCATGAGGCCTTTTGTTCCTTGCAAATAACACAAGACTTTCTTTACCAATTTCCAGTGTTCTATTCCAGGATTGCTCTGGAATCTGCCAAGTAACCCGGTAACAAATGCCAAGTCAGGGCGCGTACACACTTGAGCATATTGCAAGCTTCCGACAGCTGAAGCATATGGAACCACTTTCATTTGATCGATCTCATATTGGTTCCTGGGGCATTGAAAATCCCCATATCTGTCGCCCTTGACTATAGGAGCAGGTGAGGGACTACATTTGTGCATACTGAATTTTGTGATAGTCCTAATACCCCTTTACTTCTATCTCGGTGAATCTCGATCCCTAGAACGAACGAAGCTTCACCAAGATCTTTCATATCAAATTTTGAGGACAAAAACTTCTTGGTTTCCAGTAGTAGACTGACATCACTACTAGCAAGTAAGATATCATCCACATATAGGACAAGGAAGATAAACTTTCCATTCTTAAACTTTGCGTAGACACAATTGTCCTCAACATTATCTTCAAACCCAAAATTCTTTATTGTCTGATCAAACTTCAAGTACCACTGTCTTGAAGCTTGTTTTAATCCATAAATGGATTTCTTTAGGCGGCATCCTAAACGTTCTTTTTCTTCCATGACAAAACCTTTCGGTTGTGCCATGTAAATATTTTCTTCTAAGTCTCCGTTGAGAAATGCCGTCTTTACATCCATCTGATGTAATTCTAAATCGTAATGTGTCACTAATGCCATTATGATTCTGAAGGAATCCTTACATGAGACTGGAGAAAAGGTCTCATTGTAATCAATCCCTTCTCTTTGTGTAAAGCCTTTTGCCACAAGACGGGCTTTATATCTCTCTATATTCCCTTGAGAGTCAAGTTTTATTTTGTAGACCCATTTACAGCCTACTGTTTTGGCTCCTTTAGGAATTATCTCCAAATCCCAAACTTTATTTGCATTCATTGATCTTATCTCATCTTCCATGGCCTCAAGCCACTTTGATGAATGATTACTTTTCATGGCTTCTTCAAATGAGGTGGGATCATCCTCCATTTGAAATTCTTCAGTGTTGTACACTTCATAATCAGCAGGAATAGCTGATTTTCTAACTCTTTGAGACCTTCTAGGGGCCTCCTCATTTGGCACATTTTCTGTTTGAGGCTGTTGTTGCTCCCCCTCATGTGTGGCAATAGGTTCTATAGGATCCTGAAGAACAGGTTCCTCATCATCATTCATTGTTGCCACAGGCGGGATAACAACAGGTGCTGGCACCACAGTGTCTTGTACTGTCGGTGCAGCAACAGCAGGTAGTGAGAAAAATGGCTCATGAATTATTGGAGTGGGTGCATACACCCGCTTCTCTTCAAGGTCAATTTCTCGAGCTACCATGCTCCCCCTAATCATTTCATCCTCTAGGAAGACAGCGTGTCTCGTTTTCACAAACTTTGTATGTCTCATTAGGGAGACAAGAGAAACGAAAACCTTTTAACTTTTCTAGGTAGCCAAATGAAATGGCAACTCACTATTTTGGGATCTAGCTTCCCAATGTTTGGGTTAAAACTTTAGCCTCAAAGGGCTCCCCACACACGCAAGTGGTTAAGTGAGGTACTCTTCCCGTCCACAACTCATACGGTGTTTTGGGCAATCGACTTACTTGGTACTCTATTGAAAATATGAATGGCGGTTTTAACGCCTCCATCCACAGAACTCATCGGTAAAAGTGGAGTAACTTATCATACTACGCACCATATCCATCGTGGTGCAGTTCGCCTTTCATTACTCCATTCTCACCGAGGTTCACTTTGGTGTGGAATATCGGGCTACTATGCCATTCTCCTGTAAGAACCTTGCAAAAGGTCCGTGAACTTGGCCATATATGGGGCATGTCTTGACCGTAGTACTCTCCCCCACGGTCAGACCTGACTATCTTAATCTTTAAATCATGCTGATTTTCAACTTCTGCTTTAAATATTTTGAATTTATCCAACGCTTCTGTTCTTTCTTTAATTGGATAAATGTAGCCAAAACGAGAGTAATCATCTGTGAATGTTATGAATGAATCATAACCATCCACACTTTTCACACGAAAAGGACCACATATGTCTGTGTGAATAATCTTTAGAATTTCTGCGCTTCGTTTGGCATCTTTCTTAATTTTCTTTACATACTTTCCCTTTATGCAATCTCTACATTGTTCTAAATCTGAGAGCTCTAATGGAGGAAGAATATCATTCTTAACTAGTTTTTCTATTCTCCCCCTCGAAATATGGCCTAAATGACAGTGACATAATTTCGACAACGCATCATGAGCTCTCTTTCGTTTTCTGTTTGCATTGTTCGATGAGGATACATTCTCATTCATATCACATACGGAATTCACATTTTCACGAAGTGATAACAAATAAAGCTCGTCTTGTCGGAAGGCAAGACCAACACATTTATTATTAAACAATATCTGACATTTGCCATTTCCAAAATGGCAATCATAACCATCATGGTCCAACTTTGATACACTAATCAAGTTTCTTTGCAAAGAAGGTACATAAAGAACATCTCTAAGAAAAAGTATGAAGCCATCAGCAAGCTCTAGCGGAAGATCGCCAACGGCCTCAACATCTGCTTGTACTCCATTTGCGACTTTAATGAAACTTTCGCTTCTTTGCAAAGTTCTCATCGAACGGAATCCCTGTAATGAATTAGCAATATGAATAGTTGCACCTAAATCAATCCACCAAGTAGATTTTGAAAACTTTACATACGAGGATTCATTTACAAATTTAATGATGTTCTCACCTTTATTTTTCATAATCATCTTTAAGAAATCAGGACAATTCTTTTTATAATGTCCCGTCTTCTTGCAGTAGAGACACTGGTCTTTATCCACTGGGAATTGCTTGTTCTGAGACTGTTGCATGGGACCTTTTCCAGATGACTTGGAGGAAGAGCTGTTATTATAGTTCTTTTTCTTATCTTTTAGGTAGATGACAGTACCACCCTATGAAACTTTTATTCTTTCCTCCTCCTACACACACATGGCTATGAGCTTTTCTAAATCCCATTTTTCAGGCTGTATGTTGTAATTAACAACAAAGGTGTCAAATTCTTTGGGCAAAGAAGCAAAAATCAAATGAATAAGAAACTCATCCTTGAGTGCCAAATCCATTGGTTTGAGCTTAGATGCCAGATTGCTCATTCTCAGTATGTGCTCTCTAATGCCACTGCCGCCACCAGAGTACCTTTCTGTTACCAGCTGCTTGATCAGCTGGATTGCATATGTCTTTGAAGAGCTAGTGAACTGACTCTTTATTCTTTCTAGGTACTCTATGACTGTGTCACAGTCTGGAATTGAGCCCACAATAGCAGGCTCAATCGTGTTCTTTATCACTGCCAAACACTTCTTGTTGGCAATGACCCATTTCCTATGCTCAAGGTCATAGGACATCTTTACGGGAGCAAAATCCCGCTCTCTGTTCTGCCATGCAG